CTTAGTCTTCTCAAGCCAAGGGCTCTACTGCTTCTTAAATATAGAAATATAATTCAGTTCTGTACTAGATTCCTGTCTTCAGGAATCTATATCTGAAGTCCCACTAAAAATCCTTTACAAGCCAGAGGTCTCATTTGTGAAAGTTCTTTTTCCTCCCCAGATTTTGCTTACATAATTTATACATCGTTGTTGTTTTTTTAAAGTCCTCAAAGAGAGGTATGTAGAAGTAAGATTGGGGCTATATTTCCAGGCAGGTTTTAGCATTTCAATTTTCCCTTGTTGTAGGAAGAATAACCCCCACCTCCCAAGATGTCCATATCCCAATCCCTGAAAAATGTGAATATGTTAGGTCTCATAGTGTGATGGTTAATATTGAGTGTCAACTTGATTGAATTGAAGGATGCAAAGTGTTGTTCTTGGATGTGTCTGTGAGAGTGTTGCCAAAGGAGATTAACATTTGAGTCAGTGGACTGGGAAAGGCAGACCCACCCTCAAGCTGGGTGGACACAACCTAGTCTATTCCAGCACAGCCAGAATAAAAACAGGCAGAAGAACATGGAGAGATTAGACTAGTTTAGTCTTCTGGCCTACATCTTTCTCTCATGCTAGATGCTTCCTGCCCTTGAACATTGGACTCCATGTTCTTTGGCTTTGGGACTCAGACTGTCTCCTTGCTGTTCAGCTTACAGACGCCCTATTGTGGGACTTCACCTTGTGATCCTGTGAGTCAATACTTCTTAATAAACTCCCCTTTATACATACATCTATCCTATTAGTTCTGTCCCTCTAGAGAACCCTGACTGATACACATGGCAATGATGAATTAAGGGCGCAGATGGAATTAAGATTGCTAATCAGATGACATTAAAATAGAGAAATTATCATGGATTATCCAGTGGGTCTGACATCATCACAAGAGTCCTTAAAAGTAGAAGAGGGAGGAAGAGTCAGGAAAAGATAGGTGATGATGGAAGCAGAATTAGAAAGACGAACTATTACTGGCTGTGATAATGGAAGAAGGAGGTTCTGAACAGAGGAATGAGAGTGGCCTCAAAGCTGGAAAACGCAAGAAAGCATGTTATCGCCTAGAACTTTCAGCAAAGAATGAAGGTCTCATGACGCCCACACTGATTTTAGCTAAGTGAGACCTGTGTCAGACTTGTGCCCTACAGAACTATAAAATAATGTTTGTGTTGTTGAAGCCAACAGTAAGTAATTTAGTAAGCAATCACATATATATGATTACTTACTAATTAATTACATACTATACGATTACATACTTACATATATATGATTACTAATGATTACTTAGTAATCATATATATACATAGATATACATATATGATTCCCACATTTAAGCAAAGGTACATAATTCAGTTAATCATGTGATTATGTTATATGCACGTTTAAAAATATGCACTATTTAAAGTGCATATATTAATAGTGCATATATTATATGCACTATTTAAAATCCATATCCTATAAAAAACTTATCCCATCATTGGGATGATGGGAACAAAAATGTGTGTAAACATATTTATTGAAGAAAAATGAAAATGTCTAATTTGGAAAACTTAAAACTCAATAAAAATTTCTTTTTTGTAATGTCAGGTAAATAATGTTCATAGGAACAAACTTTGTGATAATTAAAAAATAGAAAATATACCTAAGTGTTCATCAACAGCGGAATATATGTATGAAATATTAAAATATGGTGGAGTCATACCATGTATGACTGGAATGTCATACAGCAATTAAAATGATGAGCTTGAGCTGTCTGTGATTTAGACAGTCATCAGTAAGGGACTTTTGTTAATAAAAACACATAGGAATAAACTGATTACGATCTCAGCTCCTAGTTACAGCTCAAAATGCACCTTTGACCAAATTATCAAACCCATTCTTTCTTTGGAATTTCCAAAGGAAGATGTTCCAACATGGATAGATCTTAAAAGTAAGTATTAAATTGTGTTTAAAAGAAACCAAAGTTAGTGAAAGAGTCATACAGTAAAATACCATTTATGAAAATTAAAACATGTAAAATAAAATTATATTGTTCATGGATACATATGTAGAAAGTTAATATATAAAACATGGGACTGGGGCAGGGCACAGTGGCTCAGGCCTGTAATCCCAGCACTTAGGGAGGCCAAGGCAGGCGGATCATGAGGTCAGGAGATGGAGACCAACCTGGCTGAAAAGAAGAAACCCCATCTCTACTAAAAATACAAAAAATTAGCCAGGCGTGGTGGCACGTGCCTGTAGTCCTAGCTACTCGGGAGGTTAAGGCAGGAGGATCGCTTGAACCCGGGGGGTGGGGGTCGCAGTAAGCGGAGATTGTGCCACTGCACTCCATCCTGGGAGACAGTGCGAGACTCGTCTCAAAAAAAAACAAAACAAAACAAAACATGGGACTTTGAAACACACTAAACTCATTAGGCTGTCACAATGAAAGATTCAGAAAATTTCAAAGAAAATGTTTTGTTCATTTTTATTAAAAAATATCTGAACAAAATATAAAGTGTTTAACTGTGGTGGGATCATGGATATTATATTCTCTTTTCAGTACTCCACAATAGTTATAAAAATATTTTTAAAATTATTTGAATATTTCAGACAAAATGCATTTGGAATGAATCATTCAAAAAATGATTTCAATTTATCATAATATCAAAACAGTCCACTTCCAAAGTTTATAATCATATAGTTTTACTAAAAATAAACAGGATAAAAACCTCTCTGAAGATTTCAAGAGAAACAGGTAATGTTGGACATTCTACAGAACGTAATTCAGGGATAAAATAGAAGATTTCAAACTCTCATGAGCTTAATACTGGGTTTTACTTCATAAATTATATTTATTCTAAGAATCTACCCACCTGTCAGCTCAATGTGTCTGTCTATGGCTCTGTTTGATTTTAGAGAGCCTGGGGGTGAAGGTGCAGAACAATAACACAACAGTAAGCTTCAGTGTATGCAGTAGTTGAAATGATTTCATGCCTCAGACCTTGTTAATCACTAAGGATCATCATGAACTGTGAAAAAGACTACAAAAACTCTGAGTCACCACCAAAATGCACAGACTTGTGTGTGGCTGGCAGAGGTTTTTTTAATCCATCACTATGTAAACAAGGCCAGCTACTGTTAATGATGTCTACGCTCAGGGCATGAACTCCTCACACAGGTTGGGCCTATTCTTTTACACATCTTTTTTTTTTTTTTTTTTTTTTTAAGTGAAGCTGTCACAGAAGACATAAATCTACACTAAGTTACACAAACATGGAAAATAAGTGTCAGTACCATGATGGGAATAAATGGAACCACGTAACAGGATATGAGTGAGGTAGCTGATCTTCAGTCGCTTTTTTTCATCGTATAGAGCAGAAAGTATCAGACTCACTGATCTCTACTAGAGAATTTGACAAAATTCAATTTGATATGGTAATTATTGTCAGATCATCTGTAATATGCCCAGAATTGTGCTGGGAAAATTGGGAGAAGTTTAAAAGATGCAAATCCTCTTATAAACATCCTGAAAATAGCAGATAGTTCTCAGATAAGTAATGATTAGATAGAATCCTGTAACTTTGTCCAGAAGTTGTTTGTGAGGCCCTCAAAATCTCTTGGGCTCCTTAAAATTAGTAAGAGATGTGTCTTTATTCAAAAACAATAAAATCAAGGTATTCACTACCTTAATGAGCTTAGCAAGAGCTTTAAATGTATTTTTAAATGTGAACTTTCTCTTGATTTTATATTTGAAATTTCAGTTTTCTTTCTCATCTATTTTGCAGAATCAGGAAGTATTTGCTTTTCATCTAAAAACTTTAAATTCCCTCTCTGAAATTTCTGATACCAAATTACCCTCTAATTTGGTGTCAAAAGTTTGAAAATATCACTATTTTATTATTTATTATATTCAACTTTTATTATCTTTATATTCAAATTTTCTGCTTGAGTTTTTGGTAACCATGTCTATAAAAAAATCAATGGCCACTATTCCTACTTTACATTTTTTTCAGTATGATTCAAAGTTACCTAAAACATGAAATTAATTAAGTAGCTATACAGTAATGCCCAGAATAAAGCCAAAGTGTGATAAAGTAAGATATTTTCATGCTTTTCTTTGCTGTTAATTTTGAAGATGTCCATCTTATCAATGTATTTACTCATTAATTTTATAAATATTTATGGAGTGCTTATTATGTGCTAGACATTTTTATAAGTTTGGGGATATAATGATGAGCCAAACCAGACACAAAATAAGAATGAATCCAGGAGGCAAAAATGTGTAGTGTTGTCAAAGATTACCTTTAAGATAAAAAGAATTTAATGTTTTACTCTGTACCTGGTACAGCAGAGCATTCAAAATCCAGAAGTCCAAAATGCTCCAAAATCTGAAACATTTTGAGAACCAACATGACACTCAAAGGAAATGCTCTTTGGAACATACTGGATTTCAGATTTTCAGATGTGGGATGCTCACCAGGTAATATAATGCACAAATATGCCAAAACTCAAAAAATTTCAAACTGTAAAACACTTGTGGTCCCAAGCATTTTGAGTAAGGGATAATTTATATATATAAAATATATGTACAAAGAGTCCTTATTTATTCAAAAAAATAAAAACAGTCCAACCAGCATTTCTATCATATTTCTTTCATTTTTATAAAGTTTGAAAATATTGAGATTTCTATTATAATGCAGATCCTTAAGAACATTTGCTTTCCTGTATTTTAAACAGATATACTTAAGAAGGACAGAGACTGTGGGAAATGACAAACTTATTTTACTTCTCAGTCATGTGAAATATTTCATGCATTCTCAAAGCATGCAAATAAAAGTTTGTGTCACAATTACTATCTTTCGGGTTTAGGTGGTTCTAGTCATAATATCTTGGAGAATGACAGGATCAAGAAAAAGAACAGGGTTTCACAAATGATAGACTAGCAGGCCAAAACAAAGCCAAAGACAGGAAGGAGGCGGCCGGGGAACACTTACTGGTAAGTGGTTGGGCTGACATTGATGCGCCGAGGGTGACTTCCTGACTCGAATTTGCTTGCCAGCGTGACATTATTTCCAAACAGGCAATAACGTGGCATTCGCACCCCAACAACTCCAGCCAGCACGGAGCCCGAGTGAATTCCTATCCTCATCTAAAAAAGAATGAAAGAGTAAAAGGAACACATTTGTTTCCATTTGGTATGCAATTATTTTAATGAAAGGCACTGCTAGTTAATAAATTAAACTATGAGTTCCTCAAAGACAGGAACTGAGTCCTGGTCATTTTTGTGAGCCTAATAGCTGGATCATTATAGTGCTCAAAGAACATAAATGCTATGGAATACACAAAAGAACATAAATGCTATAGAATACACAAATGAATAAGTATATGAAAAAATTTATGTTTAATTTGCTACATAAATCTGATTAAGTTACAGGTTAAATCAGATTTCATCTGTATGTAATATGGTCTAACTTGAAGAGTGTATTTTTCTCCAGTTTCTCCCTCCAGTTATTCTTAAATAAAACCTTATTTGTTTCTTTCATAGCATTAAACATCATTGTAAATTAAATATTTATATTTCTGTTTATGTCATTTAAATGTTGGATTTTCCCATTAGAGAAAGATATATATATATGTATATATATATAAAATTATATGTATTATATACATGTATATAATATATATATTTCTTTACTGCTGAATATTCAACATTTAGTATAGTACCTAGAGCAAAGCAGGTATTCAACATTAAGTGATAAATGTCAAAAAAATTGGCTGAATTCCCCAACGTATTATTAAAATGGAGTTAAAATAGAGAATTTAATCCTTGAGACAGTCAATAGGCATTGATTAAAAATTCTAAAGAGTAAATTAAATGCTGTAAATTTACTCTGATTAATCTGTCTGGTCCATGCCTTGAAAAGGCCCTCAATGTACAGTTGATATATAACTAAACATGATCACAGTAATGTAGTTATATTGACACAGTCTACACCAAAATAGCTGAAGCCAATGGATAACAAGTGGGAGATGATATCCTTAGTTCTAGGGGAATGTAGAATGTTCCTTGGAGGGAGGAAACCTGACCCCTAGATGCCTACCAAGTAGCCAAACTATCACCCCTTCACCACCAGGCTCTCTTTGCCACTCTGGTTGTAAGGATAAAAGTCAGTCTGAGAACAACCCTTGTCTTGGGGCTGGAGACTTCTGCATATATCAACTCATAAAAAGATAGGTTGAAACTAATGTGACCTAGCTGCATCCCCTGATAACCTTTTCACTTACTTTTAAAAAACTGACTCTAAAATTTATTTGGAAATTTAATATGGTAGAAAGACTCAAGATATATCTGAGAAAGATGACAAGTTAGAGTATTTGCCCTACCAGATATCGAATCTTAGTATAAACATATCTAATCAGTGCACAGATACCATCATATAAACAAATAGACTAATGGAACATTTAATCCAGAAAGGCTGCCATGCATATGTAGATGCTAGATTTATAGAAGAGTTGGCATTTCAGATAGGTGAGAAAAGGGTGTCCTTTTTATTAGAATACGCTGTATCAACTTTGTTTTATGTGGAAAAAAATTCCAAGTAAATTAAAGATCTTGATGTAACAGACATAACTTCACAGCTTTAAAAATAATTGTATTAAGAAACAATTGGTAGTATCAGTAAAAATGTAAAATATAGATACTTTAAAACATAGACTTTTATTTGTCTCTCAATAATAGTTCCTAGATGGGTCATCCAGATTGCCAGGCTGCTCTGTTCCCCTCAGTAATTCAAGGACCTGGTCCTTTTCATTGGTCCTTCTCCATGTCTTGGTGCATATCCAGGGCACCCTCATGTTCCAACTCACGGGATGTGGAAAGATAACTAATTTATCATTTAAGGTGATCTTCATAACTTTGTGTAGATTCAGATTTGTATCTGGCATCATTTTTCTCCTTCCTACAGGATTTCATAAATATTTCTTATACTGTAGGCTCACTGGTAATAAATTCCCTCTGCTTTTTTATGTTTAAAAGTCTTAATTTTGTCTTCATATGTGAAAGATACATTCACTGCAAATAGAATTCTGGGTTTAAAAAGTTTTTTACCCCCAGTAGTTTAAAGAGGCTGTTCCACTGGCTCCCCTCTTGCATCTTTTTGGATATAAAATCTGCTATCATCTTTATCTTAATTCTTCTATATATAACATATATTTTACTTCTGGTTGCTTTTAAATTTTTATTTTATCATCCGTTTTAGGTAATTTAGTTACGATTTCCCTTGATGTTTTTTTCCTTGTGCTTTGGGTTTGTTGAGCTCTTGGATCTGTGGGTTTATGGCTTTTATCAAATTTGGAAATTTTCTATTTCTTTGAATATTTTATTCTGTCCACCTCTCCCTCTCAGAGATTCTAATTACACATATATTAGGAACTTGAATTATTTCCAAAGTCCACTGATGATCTACTCATTTAAAATAATTTTCTCCATTTATTTGGGATAATTTCTATTGCTGTCTTCAAATTTATAATATTTTCTTTTGCAATGTCTAATTTGTTGTTAATCACATTCAACATATTTTTCATCTCAGACATTGTCATTTTCCTCTACAGAAGTTCAATTTGGAATGTTTAAAAATCTTCCAGGTATCAATTTAGCCTTTGAAAATATGGAATACAGTTAAAAATCACTCTTTTAATGCCCTTGTCTGCTAATTCTAACATCTGTTTCAATTCTGTACTATCCATTTGGATTAATTTTTCTCTTCATTATGAGTCCCATGTCTCAGATTTTCTTTATGTCTAGTAATTTTGGATTGGGTGCCATATATCATAAATGTGACTTCTTGAGTGTTGGATATTTTTATAATCTCATAAATATTATTGAGCTTTGTTCTGGGATGCAGTTAAATGACTTGGAAACACTTTGTTCCTTTCAAGCCTTGCTTTTAAGATTTGTTAGGCAAGACTGGAGCAGTGTTTCATGAAGGGCTAATTATCCTTCCTTACTAAGGCAAGAACCTTGAGTACTCTCCCCAGTGTCCTTGATTTATGAGGTTTTCCATTCTGCCTGAATGGAAACAGCCATTTTTTTTTTCCCAAGTCCTGTGTAAGTGCTAGGTGCTTTTTCATCTAATCTTTTTGGGTATCTCCCTCACACCAGGGCTCAGATAGTTTCCTCACATATGTGCACGAATCACTACTCTGCAGAATACATAATGAGGATCCTTGGAAGATGTCAGGGGGTCTTTTTGCAACTCTCACTTCTCTGATACTCTGTGACCTTTAGCCTCCTTGGTCTCCCAAGACTCTCAGCTCCATCTCTTCAACTCAAGAAGTTTGTTGGGTATCTCCTGGTTTGTCCCTCCCTGAGCCACACCCTGGATGCCTCTCAAGGCATTTAGGGCAATCATAGGGCTCATTTAATTTTTTTCTTATCTCTCAGGAATCACTATCTTCCATTGTCTAATGTCCACTGTCATGAAAACTGTTCTTTCGTATATTTTGTCCTGATGTAAAAAATTTTAAGATGGGAGTGTAAATCTAGTCACTGTACCCCATATTGGCTGGAAGCAGAAGTGAGACCTACTTTTTTTAAAAAAAAAGTAAACTATTTGAAAAACTTAAGCCCGTTTCTCATGAGGGAGTCTCTATTTGGACTTAAAGCAAAACATGCTGAGTATCAGTATTCCTCTTAAACTAAGTATGAAGCACCTTTCTCTAAAATTAGCAAAGCACACTGCAATATTAGTATATTTCTTTGGGTCTGTTTACTTTCAGAAGGCCAATTTATATTGTTATCTTGTACAATGCATGTTTGCTTGAAGTACAACCAAACCTTAGATGTGAAGACTGTCAGTTTGAGATTCTAATAACTATAGAAATCTTTTCAAGCAGGAGGAGAGCAGAAGTGAGTATTACATTGATACATTTTATAGACTCTTTTTACTCTTCTTTCTGTTAAAAAAAAAAAAGACTCCATACACCATACCAACTATTTGAAAGGCTTATCTAGTTCTGTTTCTGCCTCCTTTCAAAAGACCTGAGGCTTTCTTTTTAGTCTAATTTTTAGAATTATAATTTATTATAACCTGAAAAATGCTGAAGACAAAAACTCTGATATTCTTGAGGGGGCAGAGGGTCATGGAGAGGAATAGTTCATTAAATTAAAAAAACAAAGTCTTGTCTCTTAGAAAATTATCTAAAAGAGGCACAAGAGTATCAACAACCACATAAACCACACTGACCCACTGTCACTACCTATCATGGAACAGGACTCAAGAGAATTATTTAGTTTGGGAAGTAAGGCGATGCCACTGGAAACTTACAAGCTGAATCAGCAGACTGTTTTCTTTTGCATTTCTTTTGACAATTTATTGAGATTTCCCAGGAATTATTGCCTATATAAGGAAGTCACTGATTGCCTCATTCAGAATGTGCCAAGAGTATCTAGCAGTAAGACAAACAGTGAGATAATTTAACTATCAGTGAGGGCTTTACATTCATTTAGACAAGATTTAACTTTGTTTAAATGGGTTAACCAAGCAGTAACATTTGCATCCATCTGGCCAGTATGCTGTAGTTAAAGGGGATTACTTTGCACTAAACCAATGGTTCTCACCTGAGGTCATCTGAGCCCCTCAGTGGACATCTGGCAATGTCTGGAAGCATTTTTGGTTTTCACAACTGGGAGGGAGAGGTACTACTGGCATCTATGTGGCAGAGTTAGAAATTTCCTATAAAGCTTCCCAGCCCTGGAAAAGAATTTTCCAGCCCCAAATATCAATAGTGCCAAGACTGAGAAGCTGTACTCAGTAGACCTCTAGCAACCTATTAATCTTAGTAAATGAGGATAAACAAAAATATAAATGTTTTCATCTGATCAAAGCTTTGACAAAGCATACTAGACTTTAAGAGAATGTTCATGGAAAAAAAAAATGTTTGTCCTAGGGATTTATTGAAAAACACAAAAGCTTCAGGATATATCCTGAGGTTAGGCTATCTATCACCCAATCTTTTATGTATTCAATGTACAAAATAATGCAAAACTCTGGGACACGTTAAAGTCCCCAGTTATCAAAAGATTCAGTTATTCTCACAATATTCTGCTTATTACCAGGCTCATAAACAACTGCATTAAAAAAAAAAACG